CAAAGTAGTTCTACAATCAATTATGCTTAAATTATTCACAAAGATGGAAACAGAGGGAGATCTCCAAAATCCTTCAATGAAGCCAGTATCACTATAATACCAATACCATATCAACAACAAAAGGAGTATATGCCTATCCTTAAAGAACATAAATGAGTCTCAACAAAATACTCAGAAACTGTTTACACATCAAAAAGATCATCCACCATGATCAAGTCAGTTTTATTGCAGGAATGAAGGGATGGTTCAATATACATAAGTAAATAAATGTAATAAAATATATAAAAAAGCTTAAAGACAAAAATCACACGGTCATCTCAACAGATACAGAAAAGGCTTTTGACAAAATCCAACAGGCATTCATGTTAAAAGTCCTAGAGGTAACTGGACTGGAGAGAACATACCTCAACATAATTACAGCTATATACAACAAACTTACAGCAAACATCATTCTAAATGAAGAAAATCTGGGAGCATTCCCATTAAAATCAGAACCAGACAAGGCTGTCCACTATCTCTACTCCTTTTTGACATAGTGCTTGAAATTCTTGTGAGAGTAATAAGAGAAGCAAATTAAAGGAATGATAATTGGAAAAGAAGATGACAAATTATCACTATTTTCAGACAATATGATATTATGCATAAGACATACCAAATATTCCACCAGAAAACTGCTAAAAATGAGTAATACTTTCAGAAAAGTGGTAGGCTACAACAACTTCTAAAATTAGTAGCCTTTTTATGTATCAATAAAAAACAATAAAATAAGCATTTAACAAAACCCTCCCATTCACAATAACCTCAAAAAATTAAATATTTAGGAATAAACCTAACCAAAGACATTAAATATCTCTAAAATGAAAATTAAAATCTGTAAAGAAAGAGACAGAGGAAGACACCAGGAGGTGGAAAGGCTTACCATGCTCATGGATTGGTAGAATTAATAGTGTAAAAATGCCAAACTTACCAAAAGAAATCTATAGATTCAATGCAATGTCAATCAAAATACCCATGATATTCTTCACAAAGCTAGAAAAACGCATCCTAAAATTCATATGGAATCACAAAGACCCTAGATATTGAAAGCAATCTGGGTCAAAAAGAGCTATGCTGTGGAGATCGCGATGCCAAACTTCAGATTTATATTACAGAGCTATAGTCATAAAAAAAACCATGGTCCCAGCAAAAAAAATAGATATGTAGGTCAATGGAACAGAAGACCTAAACATGAGTTCATATAATTTCAGCCACCTGATATTTGATGAAGGTGACAAGAATACAAAGAAGAGGAAAGACAGCATCTTTAATAAATGATGCTGGCAAAATGGAATCTCCACCCAAAGAAGACTGAAACTAGACCCTTATCTTTCACCCTGCACAAAATTCAACTCCAAATAAATCAGACCTCAATATAAAACCTGAAATTCTAAAATTGCTATAAGAAAACATGAGGAGTACCCTATGAAATTTAGGTATAGGAAAAAAACTTTCAAAATCAGACATCAGTTGATCAGGCATGAGAGCCAACAATCAACAAGTGGGACTTCATTAAGCGCCAAAGCTTCTGTACATCAAAAGAAGCAGCCATGGAAGTGAGGAGGAAGCCCACTGATTTGGAGAAAATCTTTAGCAGCTACACATCTGACAGAGTATTAATAGTCAGAATATGTAAAGAACTCAAAAAAACAAAGAAACAAGAAAATAAACTATTCAATAATAACATGGATTATGAATTTGAACAGAGCTTACAAAGGAAAATAATTGAAATGGCTAAGAAATTCTTTAAAAACTCAGGAGGCAGAGGCAGGAAGATCTCTGTGAGTTCGAGGCCAGCCTGGCCTCCATTAGCGATTCCAGGCCAGCTGCTGCGGCTACAGGGAGACCCCCATCTCAAAAAGACCAAAAAATAAAAATAAAAAATATATATATGTATAAAGTGCTCAACATCCTTAGTAATTAGAGAATGCAGACCAAAACCACTTTATGATTCCATGTTATCCCAGTCAGACTGGCTAAGATCAAGAGAACAATGACACCAAATGCTGGTGAGGATGTGGAGAAAGGGGAACACTCCATCACTGTTAGTAGGAATTTAAACTCATGTAACTACTATAGAAAGCAGTGTGGAAAACTCTTAATAAACTAAAAAAAAATCTACCATATGATCTATTTATACCACTCCTTGGCATGTACCCAAAGGACTCATACTACTATAGAGATGCTTATATATCCGTGTTTGTTGATGCTCTTTTCACAATAGCTAAGAAATTAAGACAACCTTAATGTCCCTCACTGATGAATGAATAATGAAAATGTATATACAATGAAGTTCTACTCAGCAGTAAGAAAAGATGAAATTAAGAAAATTTCAGGTAAATTTTGTTGCTGTCTTCACAATAGCTAAGAAATGAAAACAACCTAAATGTCCTTCAACTGACAAATGCATAATGAAAATGTAGTAGACTTATACAGTGGAGTTCTACTCAGCAGTGAGAAAAGAAATTTGTAGGTAAATAGGTATGAAACTAGAGTGTTACACTAAGAGAAGTAACACAAACTCAGAAAAGTAAGTGGTGTATGTTCTCCCTCATTTGCACATTTTACCACCAAACCCCTATATATGAGTATACATCCCGATGTAAAATCAGTAGCCAGGAAAATAGAAAGGAAACAAGGAGGCAAAGGGAAAGTAAGAGCCTCAAAGAGGGTGATAGTAGGAAACAGTTGTTACTATGGGAGAGGCGAGGAAAGTGGAGTGTTTGACTGTGTGGGGAGCAGTAGAGACATGCAGGAAGTCATGGTGGTGGGGGAGGAGGGAACTATGAAACTAGAGTGTTACACTAAGAGAAGTAACACAAACTCAGAAAAGTGGTGTATGTTCTCCCTCATTTGCACATTTTACCAACAAAGCCCTATATATGAGTATACATCCCGATGTAAAATCATTACCCAGGAAAATAGAAAGGAAACAAGGAGGTAAAGGGAAAGTAAGAGCCTCAAAGAGGATGATAGTAGGAAACAGATGTTACTATGGGAGAGGCGAGGAAAGTGGAGTGTTTGACAGGGTGGGGAGCAGTAGAGACATGCAGGAAGTCATGGTGGTGGGGGAGGAGGGAACTCAGGTGAGGGGAGATAATGTGAGGCTGGTGTTATGGAGTGGGATGTTTGGGCTAACCAGGTTGCTTGGACTAGGTAGAAAGGAGAGAGTTTGGATGGGGAGAGAGAGGGGAGAGATGAACAGAGTTTGGGTGACTTGAGAAGTCAGAGGGAAATGTGTTGACTCAGGAAGTCCCTGAGAAATACACATTCTACCTCTGAACAGTATTAGATGGGCATACCTGGGGGTTGTTTGGTAAGGAGCACAGTTCCAGGAGAGACTTCCCTTCAAAAGTTTGGTCAGAGTAGCTCAAGAGACTCCCTCCCCCCCAAAATAACACAGGAACCTGGGATATTGATGAAACCCTTGGTTATCTCCCAGAACTCAAAGGTAAGACCCTATACCTGGGGGTTGTTTGGCAAGAGCACAGTTCCAGGAGAGACTTCCCTTCAAAAGGTTGGTCAGAGTAGCTCAAGAGAATCCCCCCAAAAATAACACAGGAACATGGGATATTGATGAAACCCTTGGTTATCTCCCAGAACTCAAAGGTAAGACCCTACTGCTAAAGACAGGTCATACTGCAGGCACGGGACTTGGAGCAGTGGGGCAGTAGCTGGCCTGGAAGCCTTCTCCCTAAAGACTAGGTCTCACAGTTCTA